AAAAAAAAAAAAGCGCAACGCTAAGGAAAATCTCAATATATGAAAAGTCAGGCTTACCGACAAACGGATCATCGATGGCCACTGCAGCAGCGGCATGAATGACTTCGGAATCGTCGAATTCGAGGTTCGGCTCGTAGTCATGATAGTCGGACAAACTCGGATAAGGTTCCTCCAAATCACCACAGCCTGAAAAAAATAAATGAAAAATATTCATGAAATTAACTCAAGGTAACATGATCGAGTTCACAATTTTCGTCACAAAAGATATCCACGATCATGGATGCGCATACAGACAAAAATACAGTAATCCCAGAGGAGAGATAACGCTTCGACGACAGGCATTCGCCTTGATATGATACGACTAAGTTTCCAAAAAATAGAATTAATGAGTAATTAATGTACCGTGAATCCACCACTTAGATCACACTAGGTCTACTCGAATTCCAAAAGAGAGCGAGTAGCGCATCCTTATGCAGTGCAGTAGAAGTAAAGACGACTGACCAATAGTTATTTATGAAATCTTCCGCCAAAAATTAAAAAAATCTCCCATTTAATTTGAGTGAAAGGCCCAACTCAAATTATAAATTTAAATACACTACCGTACAAAATTAGCTTAGTAACCAGGCAAATTTCCGGATCTGAAAATCGTCAATAATCGAAAAGGAGAAAAGTTACTGGAGAATGAGAACCATTTATTCAACGACGACTTAACTTGATATATTATCACAGAGCTTTTCGCAAATTTTAAAGTTTAACCAGCACATCGCCTAGAAATGTTCTCAACTTATCACCGACAGGGTAATGATATGCAGTAGTTGTATGCTCATCTTGCATATCGTTCGATCTGATTACATTTCCCATTTTCTCTTTTTCTTACAAACGATTTACAGGCAGATTTGATTTTACACGGATTTCAATTTAAAATTCGACCCACTTGAGGGAAGTGGAGTGAATATAATCTTAACTACACGGACTGCTTTGTTCCCTTGGTTTTATTCGGAATTTGCGCATGGTTCATGGCCCGGAAAATTGTGGATCCACCGTGAGAAATCTAAAACCCTATTTGATCCGCTTCTGAATTCTTCCAGCCAATGCATAGCTTCTTTTGAAGTACATACAAGTTCAAGTTACGACGCAGATCGTCACATTTGCGTCGTCGTCACATTCAGGTGTGTTTACAACGATATAAATAGTCGCGCTGCGAAACTTCCGACATACTGTAACCCCGAAAATAAATATAGAACCTTGGGATACATGCGGCTCAGCCCGCGGGCCACAGGCTGTCCGTCGCTATTCCCCAGAGATTTGTAAATACGGCATATGAAAATGAATAGGACCGCGAAATAGGCAGCGAATCCCCACACATGCTCACGCACAAAAGCCTTTTATCAAAATTCCTTCCCCCCGTCACGTTGACAGAATACCCCCATCATATCAGGCATACCCGCGACCCTCTGCCTTTAGTAAGGGATGGCACGCGTGAAAAACGGGCAACCGACCGGCAATTTATTATCACGATGCGAAAATCTTCGCTCTTTTCTCCTCCAGTCTAAAAAATAAAAATATTATAATCGCTTCCCTGAAGATGGACGAAGAAATGAAGTGCCTCGAACGAACGAATCATCTCGAGTAAATGACGAAATGTGGAGATGAGGCATCTGAAGTTTCGACCCAGCGGGTCCATCGCAAAAGCGACTTGAAAAAATCCGCAAGGAAGGAAAATTATTCTCCTTCCTTTTGCTTTCAAACTACGATTTACCGTACTTACATTTGCAGAATAAACAATAAGTAAAGGCTCATTTAGATCCTCGCTTCTCCGTCTTTTCCTTTCGATTACGCAATTCGATTACCTCTAAGACTCATTGGCTGCGTTTCGGTGCGCACAAAAAATCGTTCACACAACTCAATTTGAAATTTGCCTCCGTCATGAAAACAAGATTTTAACGTCACAAAAACCGGGAAGATTTTCTCAAGAGAAGACGGCATTTTCGCTGGATGAAACTTTCATCACATAGGCGTGATTGTGGCTCGATGTAAGCGACTCGAAACTATTGATTCGAGATATCTTAACTCAACATTCGGAAAAAATAGAAAGCTGAAGTATTTGAGCATCTATTCTCATCACTTGATGACTCGGGTTTTTCCGAAATCTGAGTTTATCTTGAATAGCACTCTACGGAAATACGAACTACGCAATATCCGCCACTAACTTGAATTTGCCCACTTTTGTGTTTTTTTTTAACCGTTATTCTCGCAATTAAGGCTTCAAGTTCTAAATATTCTGACTGATCTAGATTCGGGATCATTTTAAATAAAATAGGCTTGATCATGCGGAGATTCAAGAAATCAAACTTCATATCAGGAGAACAGCTTGAAGAAAAGTAGCAGAAAAGTGGAAGTGAAGCTTTGAGCTTCACTTCCAGCGAATAGTTCACTTGCTGGAGTGCAAAACTCATTTCTCTTGCACGCTTAGAAATCGA